TTCATTTCATTTATAATTATTTTGTTAATTTATTAAAATAAATTCAGATACAAATTGTTATTTTATGACACGGCAGCAACATTTTCAAAATTCGTCAACCTTTACATTGTCACGTCACAAGTGAGACTGCCACATAGCCAAAACTGAGAGGGGACCAAAAAAATTCCAAAAAAAACTTAAAACAAGGGACCTAATACTTAGCTTTTTTTTTAAAGGGGGTTTAAAAGTTTAGAAAAATGAAAGACGAGAGACTAAAATTGCATTTAAGCCAAAAGAGTTTTTCAATTTGACTGAAGGGATGGGTTTTAAAACATTTTAGAACAATCACTTTAAATGAACGTTAATCCAACAAATGAGCTTTTAATAGGTTGTGGTCTTAGGGAGTTTATCTTGTTGTCTTAAAAGCAATTTTATTTTTTTATTAGTTTATTTATTTTTTAGTCAAATATTTTTCTAATGTATATTAAGAGTCTTACATCAAATAATATATGATGGTATGAAGAAATATTTATAAATGAGAAAATGCTCACATGGTTTTAAAGAGTCTTGATCTCCTTCATTCTTCATTTGCTTATCCTTCATTTTATTCAGCTTCTTTGATAGATGTTTGCCATATATGGTAATTAATGATTTCAATGACCCAGATTTGAAAAATTAAAAAAAATTCACATTTTTAATCAAAGTATTATGTTTCTCTTTTACCCAGACACATTGTATCTCTTAGAGCATGATTATCGCTAACCAGTCCAGGGTTTTTACACATATATTTTATCTGTTTTAAAATGAGTGTCATTTAAGATTTTACGCCATATTACATAATTAAATAATATTGTCATGAGATATTACATTTTTAATAAATGAGTTTTATTAAAATATTGAAAGTAGTGTACAGAGTAATAATTGAAAGATACGACTGGAAAAAGGTGAATTCTTATCTACTCACCTTAAAATGTTGGGCAGAAATATCCATAGAGTAAATTGCATTGGAAATCTACAAAACTATTAAATAAATAAATAAATATAATAAAATCATTACGGGTAGATTTAATCATTACATATATATATATATATATATATATATATATATATATATATATATATATATATATATATATATATATATATATATATATATATAGTGCTCATCCATAGGTCAGGAATATGTTTCTTTACTCAGCGTATGATACTACCGTATGTTACCCTCATTCGTATCTCCTTCCGGTCTCCATGACGTGAGATCAATGTATTATCCAATAGAACGATACATGTTACTATTAACTAACACAGAGCATTAAGTCCCAACAATCGTAAAGTAGCGAGATTCAACATTGATCATGCTACAATACGTGTGGATATTGAGCCTATACTTATATTTCAATGTCAGGTCACACCATGAAAATAGGTTTTAGGTTGAAAAGGTAAAACAAGCATTAAGATTAAAGAGTCACAAATATCACAACATGAGTAGATTTACATATAACTCCACGACCTATTTAGTACATGAATATAATGACTACATCTAACCCCAACAATAGAACTTTTAGCTACGCTTACACATAGTGAGCATAACAGCTGACCTTTCCAAAAAAGTTAACTTCGGAATAGGATCTCCATGTCACCTAAATAAAGCTTCCGCCTTCAAACTTCCTTTTCTTATCATCCTGTTGTTAGCCAGAGTGAACCTACTCCAATTTTATACTCCTATGATCCACCGAATCTCCCTTTGCACTGAAAACCTCTATTTATAGGTAAAATTTTGAGGCTCTCTTTTGGTGCACCGTTGTTATGCTCAATGCACCTCTCCTACTCCTAAAACACTGACCAACCTGTTTTATTCTTCAGCAAGCAACACTTGCATATCTTTCATGTGTCTTTGGTCGCGGTTGTTCATCTATTTCATCACTCCTTCGATTATCGTGCTAACCCTTGCTTCACCTTTAAGTAATTGAACCTGGTGCTGTCACCTAGCCCTAATCTATGCCTAGCGCGCCTGTAGATGAGGCCTAGCGAGCTTTGCTTTTTCAGGGTTTTGCTTTTTCCTATTTTCTTCGTGCTGGTATGTAATTTTCCAATTCTTTTAACCTGTTTTTGATAAATGCATTCAAGTAAAGCTTAACAGATGTTTCTATAATTTTCATAGATAAGTCGATGGATTTTGTAATGATTGCTTACGAAATAAGCCAATAAGTACCGACTTTTTGAATTTAAATTTGGAGCTTATCACTAGGTTTTGGAGGGAATGCGTTGGGGACTTCATTCAAGCTTACCTGATAACCTATAACCGCCAACCCGTCGAGGCTGAAATTAAGACCCACATGGAGCATTGGGGTAGACTAGGTGTAGTTTCTTGGCTCAAACTCGACAAGCATTTTAAAGTTGATGTGTTATTCCGAAAAGCAGTGACATTGATGGATCCGACATACGCGAGTAGGTATAGTTGGTTGGTTATAGAAGTGGAGGGAACCTCATATGTTTTAAATACAAAAGAGATTGTAGATGCAACTAGTATCATTGTCGGCAATCCATCAGATTGGTCAGTCCTTCTAGTGGATACAGAGAAGAGAGTATGCAACTCCTTTGATGGGTACTTGGTTTCCTTCTATGAGTGTCTATTCACTATAGTAGACATGTGTTTGCGCTTTGTCTGGCTTTAAGCTAGTCATCATGAAACACTTCAATGTTGCCCCCTATTATATTCATCTAAGGTTCTAGGTTTACATGAAGGTGTTCCAGTTTTGAGTTCAACACGAGTCTTAGAAGTCTTCCCTCAGGTTATTCTTTGAATTTTTATATCTCGTACGCACCTCTCAGAATTACGTTCATGATCAGGGGCTTATCAAAATCCACCTGGAAAATGCCTGGTTCAGTCTTTTCACTAACGACTTGAGTGATTTCTTGATGAGTTACATACTGGTGAAACCCCTTACTCTTGAGGCTCATCTTAATTTTTATTCCGACCCGACAAAGTATTATAGCTTCTGTAAGAATAGATTCCTAAAACATTGGTCTTGGCCTCACTTTCGCTCTACCGTCAATTCCTACCACCTCAAACAAGGTCCCCTCTCTAGTGATGAGGTTACGATGATGAAGGACTTCCATTCCATATACTAGGGACTTGGTTATGAAGAGGGGTTCGGATCTGGTGAGGTGTCTACTTCACTTTAGAGGAAGAAGCGAATTGATACCTACGCCGCCGAAAATGAGGTCGGCCGCGCGGAGAGGAAGGGGATATTTGGTGAGGATGAAATACTATATTTTTTACATGTGTGATTGTATGTTATAGATAAAATGGATAAATTTCAACTTCTCTACACTCTCGCTAATGCTCAAGGCATCAAGACTAGTCTTACATGCTTGGTCATCATGACTCTCTTACGACCTTTGTTCATACCATTATTGTCGAGGTTACTGCACCTGCCCTTGGGTTGACCAAGTTACAATTGTGGTAGCTACTCTATTTGTGGAAATCATGTCACAGTTTCTTGCTCCGATTAAAAGAGGTCAGGATGAAGATCATCATTCTCCTCTAGAGGAGGGTTCTTCTAAACAAATGAAATTGTCTAGGGATATTGCTTTAGAGCCAGTCACTTCTTTCATCCGCATGCCTACTATTCTTCCTTGTCAAATTCCCCACACTCCTTAGAAAGTTGCTACTATTATATCTATGAAATACCTCTCTTTTGTTCAGAATCTTTCTAAGTAAAAAAAGATGGAGCTCCTTTTTTAGGTTACTTTCCCCACCTACCAGGTTGCTTATTTGTTATCTCTGGTCGCATCCTCCAGAGGGGATGTCCTTCTTGTAGGTAATCCCTCCAAGGATATGGACACTTGGAAGGGAAAGTATGAAGATATGGATCAGAAGTACTTAACCTTGCAAAAGGATTTGACTGATTTGCAAGGGAAGATCAAGCTTGTCGAGGCTTTGCAAGAAGACTTGAAGGTCCACGAATCTCCTTTAACCCTGGCCTTATGGGTCGTTGAGTCGGTGTCCTCCCATGAGGTAGAGAAAAATCACCATCAAAGGACCTTCAGTGTTGTTGTTGAGGTAGGCCATCGTGCACAGGAGGCTCGAAAAACTCTTTAACAGGAAAAGTAGACTCATGTTAAGGATCTAAAATCTCATGAAGATGAGATGGTCGTTATGAGGGAGAGGTTTTATGAGTCCCTTAAACCTACTATGCATGTGTATGGGGTTCTTTGTCAAGCAGTGGAGCAGGCAAATGAACTCTTCTTGGGTATTTCTATCACTATTGAAGAATTTGACCCTTTCAAGACTGCTTCGGAGGAGACTTCTTGGGATGATCAGGGCACATCATCTTCAAGCACGAATGCTTGATTATTTTCTCTTCTTTGTTTGTTTTTTTCTTTCATGTAATTTTTGCCAAGATTTCATGCCTGGCTAGGACAATATGTATATATATATAATTTCTCTTTGTTTGTTTTTTTGTTTGTTTGTTTATTTTCTCTTTTTTTTTCTTTGAACATTTCTATTTGTCATGTCTAATATAATTTGGGATGTAGGGAGTAAAATACTTTGTTTTCTTAAACATGTTTATAAAATGGGAAGAAGAAATAATTTTTGTACAATGTTATTTCCATATTTTAATTAAAAATTGTCAATTTTATTTTTGTTTTCTTAGATAAAAAATGGCCAAATTTGTTTTTACCCGTCCATTATTCAAATAAGGTCTACATTAGTTACATCACCTTTTTTTTTCTTCTCAAATTCAAATTAAACACGGAATGTGCTAGTACATTATTTCCTAACTAGAATCCAACCAACTAGCATGAATCCTAAATATTATGCTACCCGGTCTTGAAACGGAACCATAAGACACGGATCTCACAGCTCTTCGGCACCCACATGTGTCCTTTACCGTCAACATCAGACTTCCTTTCCTCTTTCCATTTTTCATGCCTTTAACAAACTCTATATATATCTCCACCTCATATACACTGTGATCTCACAAAGTTCCCTACAGCAATATTTGGCGATCGGCATGGCCACCGGCGCCGCAGATGGATTTCTCAGGCCAATTTACGAGGGCAGTATTTCCGGACACGACCACAGCGTGGAGCGTCGTCCTTACCATCGCAAATGCGGCTGTACGCTTCATAGCAAATCCAGAAAAATATCATGCGTACATAAATCTCCAATTTCTAACAGCAGAGTAAGGTATCCTTTAAGAAGAGTATGGAGTGAAGGGAATTTGGCTTTGTCTGCTTCTGCTTATTCTTCTCATTCTCCTTCTCCTTCCACTTCTCCGGCTTCTCTTGGTGGTGTCAAATCTCGACGAAGTTACGTGGATCTTGAGAATGATGTTCATCTCCAAAACCAATTTGATGATAAAATTTGTGGTTTGTTTGAGATCAATCAATCATTTTAACTATGTTTTTTTGTTTGATTTTATTGTTTTGGTTCCAGTTTAGAATTACTAATAATCCACTTTTCTTACTTAGGTTATTAATTTAATTTGTTGGGGTGGTTATGATTTGTATTGATTTATACCATTTTTATTCCAGGACCGAGTTTTGTTTGGCTTGTAATCGATTTGGCTTATTTTTTTATTGTAATGAAGGTATTTTAACTGTTCTAAGGCTATGTTTGGATGGCGAAATCCCAGAAAGAAAGTATTGTGATTAATTTAATTTTAATTTTAAAACAAAACATTGGTATCTAGTAAGATGACCATGTGGCCAGCAAATAATGCAGAGAATCTTATAATTAGAAGTGGGTACCGGCAACACGGAAGAACAGCTAATCTTTCCACAAAAACTTTGAGTGTTTTATTGAAAAGGACTAAATCTTTTTTATATGAAAGCTAAATATAGCTGTCTATGTTTAATTAAATGAAACTTTAACAAGTAGGAGTAAGACTTTTTTTTTTTTAAGTTTGGAGAAAAACATTAAATATTCACCAAACTCTTATACGAATAAGAGCACCTTCAATGGTGCAATTCATTTTTAGGTTTTTTTTTAGGACCCACTTTTTTAAAGCAATTCATTCAATTTTCATTTCAATGATGCAACTCCAAAGAATTTATATTGAGACTCACCACTTTACTTAAAATATATTATTTTATTTAAAATTATAATTTAAATATTTAAATTTTAATTAATATAAATACAAATTAAACATAAAATTAAAATTAAACATAAAATTGAAAATAATAATTAAAATTAAATTTAAATACATGTCACATAATTAAAAACAATAAAAATAAATAACATCACATAATTCGTCATTTAAGTTTCATCTTCCTCATTTCCAAAACGTTCTCAAATATGCTCGACCAGATCTCCTTGAAGTTGACGATGAACCTATTTTTCACGAATATTTGCTCTTCTTTGTAGCCTTGTTGCAAGATTCAGATGGGGACCGTTAAATGTTTCAGTTGTTGAGTTGTTGTTATCTACATTATCATAAGAGTAATCAAAATCACCTCCATATGTGTGTCGTTCGTCTTCAACAATCATGTTGTGTAATATGATGCAAGCATATATTGTATGCTTGAGGGTTTCCATGTGCCAAGCACGCGTTGGACCACGTATAATTGCAAATCGAGACTGGAGCACTCCAAATGCCCGCTCCACATCTTTTCTAGCTGATTCTTGATGTTGAGCAAATAATTTTCTCTTTTCTCCCTGCGGCATTGAAATGGTCTTGACAAATGTAGCCCACTCAGGATATATACCATCCGCTAAATAATACCCCATATTATATGGTGTTCCATTGATTGTATATTGCACAGTGGGAGCATGTCCTTCCAAAATATCGTTAAACACGTTAGATTGGTTTAGCACATTAATGTCATTGTTACAACCTGCAATACCAAAAAATGCATGCCAAATCCATAAGTCTTGTGATGCCACAACCTTAAGCATGATTGTGGGTTTACCATGATCACCTCGACAAAATTGTCCTTTCCAAGCAACAGGACAATTTTTTCATTCCCAGTGCATACAATCAATGGAACCCAACATACCTGGAAAGCCACGTGACTCACCCATTTGTAAAAGATGTTCAATATCAGTGTTGTTAGGCTTTCGCAAATACTCAGCCCCAAATACAACATTCACGCCCTTAACGAATCTTTCTAAGCACTCAATTGAGGCACTTTCACCGATTCGAACATATTCGTCTACAATGTCAGCGGGAGACCCATATGCCAACATACGAATAGCAGATGTGCATTTCTGCAATGGTGAAAGACCCAACTTACCAGTTGCATCGACCCTCATTTGGAAATATTCATCATGATTGTCGAGGGCATCTACAATTCGAAGAAACACATGCCTATGCATTCTGAACCTTCTTCAGAATTGTACATGTGTGTATACTGGATTTTCTGAGTAGTCATTGAATAACCGATTGTGCCCTTCTTCACGACCTCGATCTACCATAGTTCTTCTCTTTAGCCTAGAGGAACTTCCAAATTGACATTCATTTTGAAGATGTTGTTCTTCATCACTATCGTCCATTAATTCTTCTTCAACTAACTCCCAAAATTCTTGATCGTAATTATCTGAATTGTCTGAATCCATATTTTAGTGAGGAATAAGAAGAGAATGAGAAAACAATGACACAAGTGGTAGTATATATAATGGTTTGAATAACTGCTAGTTATTCATAACGGCTAGTTTTTCATAACGGCTAGTTTGAATAATGGCTAGTTTGAATAACGACTAGTTTGAATAACGGCTAGTTTGAATAACATAATATTAATTATGATTTAAAGTGGTACTAATGACCATTTTACATAGGATTTGATAAATTAAAGTGGTACTAATGACCATTTTACATATAATTTAAAGTGGTACTAACTACAGTCCATATTTTTTTCTCATTTTAGTACAATATTTTTCATGAATCTCTCGCTGACTTTCTTTCATAGTAGAAGTGTCTTTCATCATGATTTGCATTACCTTTAATTCTATCTCGTCCTCCTTACTTTGCGCAAGTCTTTCCATTGTTTCTGCTCTTTTATTCCTTGCATCTTGCGTTGCATTTGGAATTTCCTTTGCCTTACCCTTCCTTTTTGCTGCTTTTTGTCCCATTGGACGCTTCATTGGTGATGATGAGTTAAACTCATAACTTGAAGGTGTATTAGGGATCTCCGATGATGCCCCACTAGCAGAAGTCTGTGTCATTTTTGAAGAATTTCCAATCGATTCTCCGATGATGCCCCATTTAGCTTCATCTTTTAACAATCGCCATGCATACTCAAGATTGAATGTTGTACCTTGATCTTGAGCATAAAAAGCATGTGCAAAAGCCATGATATCGTTCTCCGATGTCCCACTTTTCTTTCCATTGACAGCTTGTCTATAACACCCAACAAATTTTTGAACCGACGCATTTATTCGATGCCATCGACATTTTAATTGACCCCTTAACTTTTCTCGCAATTGCCCACGATACTGGTTATAATTTGCAGCGATTCTATGCCAAAAAGTCTCAGCTTTTTTATCAACTCCCACAATTGGATCCTTTGAAACATTGAGCCATGATTGGATAAGACATATATCCTCATCCCTTGTAAATTGCTCTCGAGATTTTTTTTTTAACGAGAACCCTTTCTTCTTTTTCAACACCAACTTGAGTAGAAAATAATATGAAAATTTGAAATAAAATGATAATGAGAAGAAATTGTTGGAAAAAAATTAAATATTTATGAATAAAATGATGAAATTGTGAGAGAGAAATTTGAAATTAAAGAGTAAATAAAAGTGAGAGAAAATAGGATTGGTATACAATTTTTCCAACAAACCTATATTTATAATAAATAAAAAAAGTTTTAAAAAAAAATAAAGCTGTTGCACAACGGCTAAATGATTATTTTAATAATATAAAAAAATGAAGAACCATTGCTTATGTTTGTAACGTTCACCAGCTGGAACAACTTTTTGTTGACAATTTCAATGCCAAGCTGGCAAACCAATTTGAAAAACCACCGTTGGAGGTGGTCTAAGCTTTCAAGTTATAAGAGTTGGGAAATAGATCCCCTCCTGCCAACAATGTATGCAGCCATCTCTCTGCTGCATCATTTAATGGTCAAGAATTCATATAAATTATAAAAAAAATGAAGTTGTTTTAAAAAGAGAGAATAATATAGATGGATGGATGAGATGATGGCAAAATGGAAGATGCAGAGAATACATTGAAGATGATCCAAATCCAAAAAGATGAGTAACACAATAAAATATCATTCTTCCTTGCTTTTAAGCTTATGCATAGGTTTGGCACAATTGCCCATTAAAACTCATCCCACAAAAGAAAAAAAAAGTTGGGATGAACATTATATAGGACACAAAGATTGAATCCTTGTCCGCCATGAAAAAAATAGAGTGGGACAGATCCAATATTTTTTTAGTCTAAAAATTACAAAAATTTATGTTAATGTCCGCGGACAAGCAGACATATTAGAGAGTGCGAATTTAAAATCTTATTTGCCCTGCGAAAAAAGTGTTGACAAATCCGATATATCCAACTGATCTTAAAGGTTTATCAGAACTTATAGTGGGTCAGAGACAAACGCATGTGATGCTGGGTGTGAGAGAGGAGGAGGGAGTGTACCTGCAAGACACTCTAATGCTAAAGTAAGAAGCGGGGGAGAGAGAGAGAGAGAGAGAGAGAGAGAGAGAGAGAGAGAACAGGTACAAAACATGAGTATATCAAGGTGAATATTGAATACCTGGCCCTCTCAAGTGAGAGTGTTTTTATAGTGCCCATAGCGCTTGGTTATTGGTCCCTATTTTTGGGACAGGATAACCGTTTTCTGAAGAATAGCTAACTTCTAGAACTAACCGTTGGAACGAGCAGAGGTGCCCATAACTAGTCGTTGCTACGTGCAAGACGCAGTTACGGGCACAAACATCCTGGATATTTCTAGATGGTGGAGCCGTGCATGACAGACACATCTTGTCGAGGAGAAGCGCAGTGACAAATGGTAAATTACTCAGCATCCCCTGTTGGAGGGGCAAAAGGGTAAATATTCCCCGCAAATTGGGTGGGCTTAGGCAATTGGGTCGTTCTGGGAGCAGAAGTGGATTGAGGCATGCCTAGCCATTGGACCAGTCCAGAACAGTAGTCCCTCAAGTCATTGCTTCCGAGCATGGGAGTGGTGACTTAAGGGTAGTCCGCTTTTCGAGCAAGGTCGTCACTTGCCGCAGAGATGGGGCTATCACCTTGTGCTCGAAGGAAAATGTGTCTGGGCACTTGTCACGCTGCCTGTCGGGGAGCTCGAGATACAGGGAGACCAACGGGTGATGGGATCTAAAGAGTGGGAACGCCATGTATGCCTCGAGTCGTGTGTTGCATTTAATGTGTAATGATGGCTAGGTTAAGTCATGATGATGCCCCTAGCCGCACGTGCTCGTGCACGT